TAACAGATATAAAGACCTCAGAGAAGATTATATCAGCTCAGTTGAAACTTATATCCAATCATTTAAAGAGAAAATGACTAAAACAGAAGATTTGTTACGGGTGTGTTTAGGAGAGACACCAGAGTGTGTTGAACTATCAGCTAAATATGTTTACAGCTGCCACAAACGCAGAGAACAGAGTGACACAGCGCCTTAAACTGATCCCATGTAAATGTGTCATTTATTTATTTGATGTTGTGTGTATTTTACAATGAGTATGTTTATGTATGTATATGTGTGTATATGTGTGTATGTACATATGAATATTTTATTATTTTAGTCTTTCTTTTATACATTATTTCCTTCTTCACCATTATCTTCATATTCTACTAGGATATTTTAATTGCTTTGGCAACAACTGTTCATTACAATTCATGCCAATAAAGTTATTTGAATTGAATTGATAGAGAGAGAGAGAGAGAGAGAGAGAGAGAGAGAGAGAGAGAGAGAGAGAGAGTGAGAGTGTGAGAGTGAGAGAGAGAGAGAGAGAGACTTTAAAAAATCTGACCCACTGACTTCAAATGTAAACTGGCTGTTTGAATGTTTCAGGTTAACTGGGTCTGTAACAGTGATGTAAGGAAATGCGCCCAGGACTTTGTTTTTTATGGTTTAGTTCATAACACCCACATCAACAATACTGAATCGCTGCATGTTTTGTTGGTGTGTAAATCTTTATGTCAAATTCTAAAAGTAACTGCAAATTTTACAGGTTAAGTAAAACTCTGGGTGATGATCTGCCAGAGTATGCAGTCCTACAGTGAACTGGGCTGAGCCCCAGATCTTTACACGCCCAGCCAATGTATCTTCCCATCTGTACCGCTCTATAGTGGAAGGAAAAGTGTTCTTCTGCTTGTAAATTTCCACCAGGTGCATGATGGGGAACAATCTTAAAAAAATCTAGTTGCGATCTTGCAAATAGTGACCCTGTAGGATTTCTAGTCTTTGCAAAAACAAAGTCTGTGACCAAAAACTGTGACATTGTCTTTAGGTGCGAGAGGGTGTCAAGCTTTAGTCTTTCAAAAGTCTTTTCAAACTCTTCTAGTGTATGGTTAGCATTAGTATCTCAGAAACTATCTCGTAATTATGACTTGGTATACACCTGTCTCATAAGTACAACTTTGGACTCATATCATAATTATGAAGTAGTATCTCAGAATAACGACTTCTGTCATAATTGTGACTTACTATCTCATAATTACGACTTAATATCTCATAATTATGACTTATTGGCTTATAATTAAGACTTAGTATCGCACCACTGACTTAGCATCTCACAATTATGAGAAAATGTAATACTGATGAGATACTAAGTCATAATAATGAGAAACGTTCATTATTCATTATAATTCATTATAACTTACAAAACAGTTTAATGCAAACTGCAGGCTAATATAACATCACAGCATTAAGAACAAATTAATATACACACACAGATTTCTGATGATAGTTTCTGATTATTATTGAGTTCAGTGCACAGAGGTGCTGGTGAGGGGGAGTGGGTTGGCTCATGGTTTTTATCAAATTCTACATGGTTCCCATTTGCCACATCCATTTTTCTATTAGGACTAATTTGACAGGCATGGTGTATTTTTGTCCATTCCTGTTGTCTGCATACTTTAAGCAGGTTTAAAGGTTTTAAAGGACAGCAGTATAATGTTTCTTTAGTCTACCCACGAGTTAATTATAATTGTTAAGAATAAATTAGATTATCATTTTGTGAACCTTCTGGCAGGCTTGGTTTCTTATACTGCTGCATAAATAACACATGGCTGATATAAAAGTAAAGGCAATGCCACTAAAGATTATATTTACAAAGGACATGTGCAATACAATATTCAGCAAACAACATATGCTCATGCCACATAGCTGCAGGTGCCTTTTTACACACACAAAGAACTGAAATAAAACATGTCATTCATTCAACACAGAACAAGCCAACTGGTCTTCAGTCAGTCTTCATAGGTTGGTGGAAGAAGGCCATAACACTATGAGTTCAGCTGTATCCACTAACTTCACTTGAGCGAGTGGGAACCTGAAGTTGCTCAAGTTAACCTGCATTTTGGGTAAAATAACTTTTGAAATCATCACACAAATCAGTTGCCAGTTGTTACGTATGACAACCTTGTACCTACTCATTGGCCATTTTATCAGAAACGTATAAGTGCACTTTGTACTCTGTTGTCTGTTACTGTACAATGAATCAGTCACCCTCTACCCCATCCATCAATGGAAAGGGACCACCATAGGACCACTACAGTCCACATATTATTTGTGTGGTGCAACATTCTTAGCACAACAGTGACACTGTAATGGCATTTTAAGGTCCATTTCCTCAGGCAGTGCAGTACAACATTGTATGACCACATATTTTGTCATCATTTTCACTCACAAGTGAGCCATAAATGGGTTGCTTTTCTTGCCAGGGTATCAAGCATATCGAACAGGGGCATGTAGGTGGAGCTAGAAATAGAGCAGACTGTTGATTGGTCAAACTCGTCTCAGAAAAATCACCCGCAGTCACTTCCAAACTCATTTCCAAACTGTCATTTCCAAAAACAGAAACTAGTAGCTAGTCAGAATCTGTCTGTGACTTCTCATCTAAGCGCTGGCCTTAACGTCATGAGACTGTAAGCTCAATCCCCAGCAATGCCACCAGGATGTGGTGCCACCACCTCCAAGCGTGTTGCGCTGTCCAATGATGTTGCGTTAGCAGCAGTTTGAAAAGATGCAGTGGCTGGCCTCAGGTAACATGGAGGAAGCATGCGCTGGTCTTCCTCCCGGACATGACTAAATATAAAAAAAATAGCAAAATGCACTTTTCTTTATGTTTACTGTTGACACTGTTGCGTGAGAAACCATGTCTCCACCACACATTCCCCAGAAAACCTACTTTCCCAGTACAGTAGTGGAACGGGAAGCGGACACAGGTACTCAACCAGGGTATGTATATTTCTGGGTTCAGATTGCAGGTAACTGCACCGTGCCATACTGAACTGTCCAGTGGAAAAGCACCTTTAATATGTGTGGTGCTGTATCTGGCACAGCAGCGTTGCTGGAGTTTTCACACAGTTTAGTGTCACTGCTGGGTTGAGAATGGTCAACCAGAAATATCCAGCCAAGTGGTCCTGTGGTCACAAACTGATGATGCTAGAGCAGAGCAGCCCGTAGTGTGGCCTGGAGGTGGTGGCCCATGAGGACGTTTGCTTTGTCCCACCATGACAGTCTAACCCCATGTCCTGACTCAATGAGAGGACATATACACATAAATACAGTACTATGCAAAAGTCTTAGGCATCTGCTTGTTTTTTCTTTTTTTATGATATTTATGTGTATTTGCATTGACCATGATGATATATGGTGTTTTTACCCAAAAAACACACATACTGGTTTCAAATAATGTGTTTAGGTGCCAAAGACCTTTGCACAGTCCTGTATGTACACTTACTTGATTATTATTTTCCCTTTTTTTTTTTGCATTTTTGATATATTTCAGTAATATTTTTTTAAAACTTTGAAATGTTCCTACATTCCATATTTATATATTTTGTCTTCTTGGCCCTTGCCACCTTACACATTACACTTTGGAAGCCCAGAATAAAAAGTTTGGGCACCTCTGGGCTAAAGGATGACTAGTACAAAAAAAAGATGAGCTGTGTACCCACAAAGTGCACCCACAGTCAGTTACAGTCAGGTATATCTAATAAAGTAAACAGTAAATACATCCGCATTTCCAAAATGTTGAGACGCTGTGCAAAATGTAAAAACGAAATGTAATAACATACAAATAATTTAAACCCTGTATTTCACAGAAAATAGCACAAAGTGATCATACTGAGGAATTTTAATGCTTTTTATAAAATATTTGCCCATTTTGAATTTGATGCCAACAACACGTTCAAGAAGTTGGGACAGGCAAACAAAAGGCTGGAAAAGTGTAATGCTAAAAAAACACCTGGTGGTCAATTGGCAACAGGTCAGTAACATGATTGGGTATAAAAACAGCATCCCAGAGTCTTTCAGAAGTAAAGATGAGGAGGGGTTCAACACTCTGTGAAAGACTGTGTGGACAAATAGTGCAACGATTCAAGAATAACCTTTCTCAACGTAAAACAAAGAACTTTTGCTTTTCATCATCTATGGAACATAATAACATTAAAAGATTCAGAGAGTCTGGAGAAATCTCTGTATGCAAGGGACAAGGCCAAAAATTAGTATTTGCTGGCCGTGATCTTTGGGCCCTCAGGCAGCACTGCATTAAAAACAGACATCATTCTGCAGTGGAAATCACTGCATGGGCTCAGAAACACTTCTGAAAACCACTGTCTGTGAAATTAGAGAACCACCTTCTCTGGGCCTGAGCTCATTGAAAGTGGAAAGTGGAAAAGTGTCCTGTGGTCTGACGAATCAACATTTGAAATTCTTTTTGGAAATTATGGACACTGTGTCCTCCAGACTAAAGACCACTCAGCTTGTTATTAGTGCACAGTTCAAAAGCCAGTTTTCATGATGGTGTAGGGGTGCAATAGTGCACATGGTATGGGTGACGTGCACATCTGTGAAGGCACCATTAATGCTGAATAATATATATATGTTTTGGCAACATACACTGCCATCTTTTTCATGAGCCCCCGAACTGTTGAGTAGCTGAAATCCTATATCAAACAAGAACAGGAAAACATTTCACTTTCAAAACTACAGCAATCGGTCTCCTCAGTTTCCAGACACTTACAGAGTGCTGTTAAAAGAAGAGGTGATGAAACACAGTGGTAAACATTCCCCCGTCCCAACTTTTTTGGAACGTGTTGCCGGCGTCAAATTCAAAATGGGCAAATATTTTTCAAAAAACAATAAAAATTCTCAGTTTCAACATTTGATATGTTGTCTTTGTAGTATTTTCCTTTAAAAATATGGTTTACATGATTTGCAGATCATTGCATTCTATTTTTATTTACATTCTGCACAGCATCCCAACTGTTTTGGAAATGGGTTGTATATAGCACAGGGAGGGTGATATGGCAAAGGAATTATATATTATACTTGAAGACACTTTCACAATACATATGTATAACAATATTTGTTTTTTTGAGGTTTGATAAGTTTAAACACACAAAAAAAAGAACCAGCAGTCCCACATTTGAAAATACTGTCAAAAACTATAAATATATATATATATTTTTCTTCAATGTTTCAAATACTGTACTGCACTAAATCCATTTAAAAAGGATCATAAATTCTGTTCTTTTTGTAATGAAACATGCAGTTAGTCAGTGTACTTTACATACTGATGATATCCATAATATTGTGATGTAATTGACCACGATATGATAAAATACTGTTACATTGCCCACCCCTTTGTATTGACATTGCTTTCATATTTACAGCCTTTGGCAGATGCTCTTATCTGGATCTAAGTGCAAAAGCGCAGAACCGTTTTTTCTTTGCAAATGTTTCTGGACACAGGTTGAGGTATGCAAAAAGAACGAATAAAAATGAACACTTAATGTTTGTGGTAATTACTTGGCAGATGAAGTCTGAAGCTGAAACAGTTTCATTTACTTTCATGACCATCACTTTTCCATGAATGCAGAATTTATCCTGGCTCTTTTTCAGTCACCATGCTTTTCTTTTTAGGAGTGCACAGTGATGGGGCCTTACTTTTACTATGAGGTTTATGTGACAGCTTCAGAATAAGCTTGGACTTTTCTCTGTCTTGTTCTTTCTGAGGTAGCCATGCCTCCAGTCTCTGAGCGAGTCTCTGTGACAGCCAGAAGGACAGAGCTTTGGAGAAAAAGCAGGGCCAACAGCACCAGCCACTGGATGCTTTTTTGTCCCCGCCTCCAGGGTTGCTTTCCTTCAGGTCCAATTCATGTATCAGGTTGGAGAGGTCCCGGGGCAGGCAGTATCGTCGGACTCCCCTTAGCTCCTTTGGAATATGGCGGCTGCCACCAAGGCCCTGGAAGCAAACCAAACCGAATCCTTGGCCACAGCGCTCACTGTGTAGCCCCGACCACAGACTCGAGAGGGTGGCGTTAAACACTGGGGCTGTGACAGACGATGTCTCCTTTGCTCTCTCCATCCATCCTTCTTTCTGCTTATCTTTCTGCTGTTCATTGCTCCATGCTGTATCCTTCTCTTCATCACCCACTTTTCCCCTCCACCAACTGTTTTCCCTCTCCTTCTTCCCTTCTCTCTCCTTCCATTGGAGAAATGCCTGCTGGGCTTCCAGGCTCCAGGCCAGCAGCACCACACCTCCTGCCTGCTGCACCTCCTGGCACTGACCATAGAGCCAGGGTGCGGGTCCAAGCTGGGCCAGAGATGCCTGCGTGCTGCAGTGTGCCCACTGCGCCAAACGCACGTCCATACGCAGCTCCTCCTGTAGTCCGGAAGCCAGAGCGCAGACAGCCGCCACGTGGACCGCATCATCAGAGGAGGACACCAGCAACACAGGCTTTCTCTCTGCACAGCGCCACACTGATGAGAGAGGGAAAAAAAGATTACTGCTATTTATAGAAGGATTTATGTGCTTTTTAAATATTTTTTAACAGTTTTATTTTTATTTAAATATTTTTCTGTTATTTTAATATTTATTAATATTTTAGTATTTTTTTATTTATAATTTATAAAACACAATGTTATCAATTTATTATTAATCATTTTCTTTTGAGATTGCCACTGATACATCTCAATTTTTGAGTGTTTTTAACGAATTCCAATAGTGTTTTTTTTTAAGAATTTTAAGATTTATTCTGTGGTATGTATAATTATAAAAGCTAAATAATTTAATGATTTTAATGCCTTGGTGTTTTTAAAAACCTGTAATAATGCTGGACTAGAAATAAACAAAGAAATTTACCAATAAACAATGTCAATAAGAGCTTTTAATGAATTTATGAATTACACACAATTCAAAATGTAGCAATTTGCAGCCTTTGGTTTAATATAGGAAAAGGTACAAAGGAATAAAGCAAAAAGGAAAAGAAGCAAATAAATATGTGTGATTTCTTACAGTTTCCGTTACTAACCTGATGTCTTCTTTTTGATCAAAATGTAGGTGAGGAACCCCATTGTTGTTAGAGTGATCAGGAAGGCCAGTGAAAAGGCAATAACGAGACCCCATCTCCTGTGAGTATCTGAGACAGTGATACAATGAGTATTTACAGTTGTATACAAAAGTTTGGGCACCCCTGGTCAAATTTCAAGTTTTGTTGATTTTCTAAGTGAGTTTTTAACACCTTGTCTGCAGAGAAAACACTTCCGCACATTTCAGTGCACAATTGCTGCTTTTTTCCTGAATTCAACATAATGGAAAAAAAAACATAAATTGTGCCCTGTACAAAAGTTATGGAACAGTTTTCTTTTTTTCAGCTGGTTAAAATCAGCAAATAATAAAGCAAATAAGATTTTTATTTGCAAATAGCAATTTGCAGAAGCAAATAAGATATTTGTTTGTTCCTGATGTATTATAGATAACTACAACTATTACTAAAATGAAAAGTAGCACTAGCTAAAATAAAAAAATGTGCTTGTTAAATGTAACAAAAATAAAAATGGCAGCTTTCAGAAACACAAAAATTAAACCAAAACTATAACATACACTGCAAAAAAAGAAAAAAAAACAGAATTAGTGAGAAAAATCTTCTTGTTTTTGTTTTTTTCAGTGCACAAAAGAGAGTTTAGAAGTGGATCGCTTTTGGGTTTGGCTGTCTTTAAGGAAAGCTAGATCTGAGATGAGCTCAGTCTACTGTTAATTTTAATGTACCCTTATTAATTACCATCGATCACAGCACACATCATAACACTAAAAACTAAAACTAAATTTATTCATGTACCCTTAAGACTAAATGAAACTAAACTGCAAACAAAAACCAAAATGAAAAACTAAAAATAAAAACTAATAAAAGTTTCAAAACTATGATAACCAAGGTTTGATCTCTGCAAAGGAACTTCTTTACACTTAGAAAGTCAACAAAACATATTATTTGACTGGGGTGGTGGCTTACATGACGCAAAGCATGCATAATTCTCAATGTTAGCACTTACAGTCAGGGCAAATGATTCTCTTTCCATGCAGAAAAGGCTCAGAACGCCACACCTAGACAGAGAAAGACAAATTCACTAGGCCAGTCAAACAAGCATATTTACACCTTCTTAACTCAACACTTTCACCCATATCACGTCTCTCACTAAACCTGCTTTCCTCCACCTCTGCAATAACTACCCATCTTTGCCTCTTTCCTGAATATTACAGATGCTAAAACACTAGTCTGTGCCCTCGTATTGATTATTGTAATTCATTCTTTACTGGTTTTCTTGCTAAAACTCTGGAAAAGCTCTTGACAAACTTCATAAGATGAGTTTTGTCTCACTTGCACACACAGTCCTGGGATGAAAAAGTGAAGGGGAAGGCTCAGCTCCACCTCTTTAGTGCCTTCTTCCTGCAGAAAACAGAAAGAAATGCCTAAATGTACTAAAGACCTAATAACTGCCCGTATGCCACTTATTGTTTTTGTTATACAATTATGATACCAAATGTTAAGAAGACTCAACAAAAATCAAACTTTGGGAGCTACAACATTTCATGTCCATTTTATTGAAGTAACATTTCACCATCTTGTCTGTAAATATGTCTCAGTGTGTGGTAATGTACTAGTACAGGCTACATATATAATATAAACGAAAACACAGACTTTCTTTGCTCTGCTTTAAACGTTAGTTCAGCTATAGTTGCTTTTCTTGCATCTCCGGCAGGAAACTTTTACGCAAAAGTAGAATAGTTTTTTGTAAAACGTCTTTTTACGAAGCTGAAGTCAGCTTCTCGTTCGCCAGCTTCTTGTTCAAATTTTCCCTTTCCACCTTAAATGGTGCCTGAATCGCCAGAATATAGCCAACTATGTAGCAAACTGTTGCACCATTTAAGGTGGAACGTGAAAATTTGAACAAGAAGCTGGCGAACGAGAAGCTGACTTCAGCTTTGCGACTTTTTAGTGTTTGCCAGTTCCTCGTTGCAACGTATCAGGACACCAGCTGGAGTGATTAGAAATGCAAATAAGTCAATTTGTCTCCAAATTATTAATTATTGATTGATTACTTTCTCTTTGCCTTTTCGTTAGCTACTACCTAGGCGAGATTGTTGTCTGCGTGCCAACATTCAGGGGCAAAGAGTGAATAAGCAGTTATACATATAACTCCAGTGTTTAAGACTATTTATTGTTAAAACGATCAGCAGAGATTTATTTTACCACAAAACATGGATTATTTTATTTTTACCTAAAAATATAATTCTCCTGGGGAGCCGCAACAGGGCAGTAAAAGAGCTGACTCCTGCAATAGTGTATTGTGATAATCAATGCTGAAATAAGCGTGTACTAAACGCTACTACATCTACTGTGTTCTGTAATATAAATAAAAATTCATAAGCAGAATGAATTGGTTTTAAGCTGTAAGTAATTACTAACCATGTGAACAGAGTGAACATTTCCTTTTGCCACATACTCTCCCTCCTCCTCCACACACAGCTGGGCAGAGAAGGATGCTGCGATAGTGGAGGACAGTCGTACATGCAGACGTTGAGATCCAGGGACCACAGTCACATCCCATTCAGAGAAAATACCTGAGAGAGAGAGAGTGAGAGAGAGAGAGAGAGAGAGAGAGAGGGAGAGAGAGAGAGAGAGAGAGAGCAATGATAATTTACCATTTGTGCAAGTTTTTGAGAAATCACGGCAAAATAAATACGTCATTTAACAGAGCCATGCCCTTTGAGGTCTAAAATATTAAAGCAGATGTTTTACCTGAGCTGAAGGGGCAAAACACACGCTGGCTGTCATCCAGAGAAAACTAGAACAAAAACAGAAAACAGGAAAAATCACAAGATGTAAAAACTACCAACAACACAATTAAAATGCCAACAATACAATTGGGCACACTCAGCTAGCATGATTTCTCACCTTCACACACATGTGAGCATGCTTGTCCACAGCAGTCACGTTGTATTTCTTTAGGAAAAGATGCAAATAATCCTAAGGTTATTTGTTAAGCCACAGTTTTATTTAAAAAACGTCTGCAAGCACAAAATCAACATCAGCTTCAACTTTACAATCATCACTATCAATGCAAAAGTCATAGTCATATTCATATTCCGCTGTAGCAGCACAAACCACCAAGCTACAATAACCCATTGAAAATGCCACCGCATGTCTAATCTGAAACCCATGCAGATAATCCGACAGTACAATTTTTGTTTGTAGAAGATCCATCACAGCTCCCTAACATAAAGGTTGTTATTACTGTTGTTTTGCTACACTGTATTAAATGGAATTACAAAATGATGTAGTTTGGTACATAGTGAATTAAAATGTCATGAAATTATAAAACTCTGTCAAAAATGTAAAAGACTGTATGCACATTAATAACCTTCCATCAAACTAAAATCAGAATGGAATATCTCCTACTTGCAAAATCAAATGCGGGATCGATTAAAAGTTTAAAAACTGCACTTTCAGCAGAATTTCTCCATTGGTTTCACTGTTATGAGTGAGAAATGATTAATATTAAAGCACACCATGCTTTTGTTATTAATTGTAAGGGTTAAACTGAAAACTCAGTAAAAACATGGTGCAATCTGATGTATGAACATACTTGTTAAGGAAAGAAGGCATGTATTTTTGTTTTGGCTGTTGTAAGATTGATTAACACTTTCATATGTACTTATTACAAAGTTTCCAAGAGTTAGAAACCAAACATTCAGAGTCAAGAGACCAAACATGCAATCTGAATAAAGTTATGCCATTCTGCAGACTGATTTAAAAAGCATTGTACAAATTCGAGACATGATGTTTTTTATTTGTATTTTGCTTTGTGCAGGTGGGAAACGACACACTGTATGGAATAGAATATTACTCACATATTACAATTTAAACGTCCCCAGTTACATCTTTTGTGTGGATGTTCAAATTCATAAACTGGTGCGATGATAACGAGCTGAACGAAGTGGCTTGAGGCGATGGCAGATAGCAATGTTTGCTAAGCAGTAATTGAAGGGCTGAGGAAATAAGGCGGAGCTTGGTGGAGAGTGTAATAATTTGATTGGCCGTAATACAATGACAGCAAAAGCAAATCAAATTTCATTCTTACAAAATGTGGCTTAATATATATACTTTCACCATTTGATTGGGCAGGCCTGTGATAAATCTATGGCTATGAAGGATGTTGTGGCCAGATTCACTGTCACGCTGAATTTGATGTTAGCTTTATATTAGTAATTCCGTTCCACCTTAAATAGTCCAGCAGTTACATGCTAGTGCCCGTACAGACATCTGAACATAACCACTACATCATTTAAGGTGTAATGGAAAATGTGAATAAGAAGCTAATTTCAGCTTCACATAATCTCTATTCACTGTATGAGACTCAGTTACAATCAGCTAACCAGGGCTATGTCACTTCAGGTGTGGGTGGCTGGTTTAACCCCTAATTTACTAGATACACATTTGGATGTAACATTTACAGTACGTCTGAGCGTTGCTTTGCTTAAATACCTGAGTATACATTAGCTTACAGTAACCAGCCCAAAAGGCTACCAACTCCCCTGATTACCCACTCCAGCATTGGTACTCACCAAGTCTCTGTCATGCAGTGTGGAGTTTTGGACAGGATAGCACTGTGAGTGGTTTTCCTGATGTTGCCAGCATAGAGAGACTGCAGGTTTTGACGGGTCAGAGGGACATAGAGGCTTCCATTCAAGAACAGATCTACCATAAAGCTCCAGAGAGCTGCTGGACAAAATATCTCCACCTCCTGTGGGATACAGTGGGCTCATGAATCAACACCAAAATACACTAAGCTACACAAGTTACAACTGCCCCTATCACACAGCACCTCAACCTCTAAGTGCAGCGAATGCTGTCTGGAGGAGCATTTTAAGCACAAGTATGTGCTCTGAGTTTATTCCCCGTTTCAATCTTTCTTGTACACATGTCCCCCACCCACCCACACCCTCTCCCAGGCTGGGGGCACTGATTTTTAGTAGGAGTTTTGGTCAGTGTGTGGGAGCAAATTGGAGGAGTGAGAACTGAACACAAATTTATCAAAAAATGCAAGCAGTTTTAGTTTATCAGGATTCATTGACTGGTTTTTTTATCAAGTTTAGCGTCCACTGTTTTGTTGACTTGCAGTTGAGTTGCAGTTCTGTGTGAGTGTTTGGCCTCACTTTATTTGGATAGTCCACTATAGTCCCCTATAAAGTATCTACAGATGTTCAAATTGTTAACAAACTATCTGTGTAAACTCAGTTGATTCTAAACAGTGGTGGGGTTAGGGTTTAGATTTTGGGTTTAGGCTGAGGTTAGGGTTAGCATTAGAGCTGTTTTTAGAGTTAAAGAAAATTCTGGTCAATTTAGTAGATATTTATTGTAACTTGAAAGTAAATTAAGCATCTACAAAGCATCTAAAGTGGACTATTCAAATAAGAACAAGATGTTACCGAGTGTTTTTTAAAGGAGACCTCTTCACTAAACTAAACAGAGAAACTTGAAAGCTGTACTGAGAGCTGAATTAAAATTTCAAGCTGAACTGACTTTTTCACAGATATTTTTACAGCGCAGACTGAGGACAAGAGATAAAGAGAAGCACGAAAGAATGCAGTAGTGGTTCATTTGTTACTGGGTGTATCATAAAGATACGCAGATAAACAGACACATACCAGGGCTGCATGATATGGAGAAATCACTATGTATCAATAATACTGCTACATACTGCAACTGCAATACAGCTTGCAATAAACAAAAAAGTCACTGGCAAACCCTTGATATGATGTAGTTAAATATTAATCTGCATTGCTGTTGACCAAATTTCTTTATGTTTGGTGCACTCTGCCTTGATTCATTCAAAACACCCACAGAACATCTTTGTTTGGTCAGGATGCTCATAATGTTCATTTAAATATTTAGCAATTGGTTAGACTTCTCATTTGCATACTGCAGTTTTCTACAATAGCAGAACTGCAAAGGCCAGTATTGCAATAATGGCTATAGGTATCAGCTCAGCCAATGTACCATATAAAATAGATTTGTTGCAAATTTGTAGGTATTGTGTAGGTACATGGACAAAACATGTTGACGTGAGAAACAGAACAAGACATCAGAGCATCACTCTTTTTGCTCTGTCAGTTATTCACAGCCTGACTCTCTTTCAGTCTTTCTCTCTGACTCTCTCACACTGTCTTTGATTATGTATCTATGTGTATTTATCTATGAGACACTATTTAGCTGTTTAACTCTTTAAATGGCCATAATTTTATTACACACTTCTATAACCTGACAATAGCTCAGCCAGTTTGCACTGAAGTTCCTGAAGTTACTGTATAGTAAGTTTTAGTATGTAATAAGCCTGGGATTTTAAGCGATTAACTGTCAAATACAGTAAAAAATAAATTTCTGATTCTGTATAAATGTAGAATGATTGATAGAAAACTAATTCAGTAAAATCGAAATGTACTGTGCATGTATCTGATTTCATACAGTTTAGAGGCTGTGAATAGAAGGTTTATTGTCTCTAAAAGTTGACACCTATAAATGATTAACAAACAATATATTGTGCGGTCCTAACAGTCTCACACGCACACACACTCCAGTCATTTCAAGTTACCTGGTAGTCTTTGGTTTTTAAATGGACAGGTTGTGTCTCTCCTGGTATCAAGTCCAGTATAATACAGCTTTGAATAGAAAACATTTCCTTATTAATGGTTGGAAAAAGGGTTATGTTTTTCTTTATTACACAGTAATAGTTGTACGAGGGATGTTGATATGTCTTGTAATTTGCATCCAGGTTTAAAGTGAAATCTTACCTGCACACATATACAGCGTACCAGGTAAGGGAAGCTGAAAGTGACTGCCGGATCAAAATCTGTATTAATCTTAATCTGGAATAAAGAAAACACTCATCATAAACTTTTTATCCAAACGAAAGAGAAAGTCATGCTTCTATGGTTGCTATTTAAAAGACTGTATAAACTTTGTTGTCTAAATGCTGTGTGAACAACACACACTCACATCTGGTGACTCGATGCCTTTGCACTCTGGTGCTAAGTTTTTATAGCACAGCCTGGCAATCAGTTCTTGGCCTGTACCCATGGTAACCATGAAAAGTTTAGCCGAGGTATTCGCTGTTACATCATATTTGGGCACTGCATCTCTTAAATATCTGTGATGTACTGGTAGGCAGAATGTAAAAAAACAAACAAAAAAAATATTATTTAATATATATTCGATCATTATTTATATATTATTCCTGTGTATACACATTACATTAATTTGTGCATATTTATTTTTTTTTCAAATTTGACACTAAAGCATGACTTTGTCCATTTAAAAAACAATATATTTTGTTATAGCTATATGTGGACAAAATAAGCTTCATTCGAATGTATTTATTATTTTCATTGTGAATGAAGAGTTTTTTTTATAATTTAAAAAAACACCAGCTGACATTTACACTAATAAATGAAACAATAGAAATCCTCCAAAATTACCCTGAAAAAACATTTTAACCTCTATTATAAGTTAAGAATGTTTTCCTTCTCCTGTAAAGTCAGCAATTTGGAGATTCAAGTTTTTGTTCTAACAGTGATGATATACAGTTAATGGTTCCAATGTGAGTATAGCCCTCCTGTTCTCTTTTGGCTCATGTATTCTAGTTATCGTGAAGGCTCTCAAGGAGAACTCATTTCGCTGTTGCTTTTGTTAGTTTGCTGCTTATTGATTTATACCTGCAAGAGCTGTCCAGTGTAGCCTCCCGAAGGTAAAGCCATTTCCACCAGTTCCACCAATTTTAGAAAATTTCAGCATTTTTATTTCAATCTTTGAGATGTAAACTAACTTATTCAGAGTGGTTTGATGTGAAATAATTTACTGTATAGAAACTTACTGGCTCATATTTCTATATGATTGTGATAACAGGAACCAGGGGTCCCAATGTCTACAACACAAATATAACCATTTTATTTATTATTCAAAATGTCTTCATATGTAGTGTTGATGATGGTAAAATAGAGGTAAACTTGTTTTTTTGGGGGGACTATTTGCCTTATGGAGCCCTGCATGCACCTCTCGACCACAACTGTAGACATCACGCAGCGTATCCGTAACCTTTTCATGTAACAGCTTTCTGTGTTTACAATCTAATGAATTAATGATTTTTTAAAAAATGTGGAATTCCCATTTAAAGCTGAATTCACCATTTGCCATTTACCATTTACGTTTACTACATGGTTCTAGGAAAATGTGGGAACTAGAAAAAAGTGTTAACAATATTAAAAATTAGTACTATTAATAATTTATTGCATTAACAGATTATTAACATGTACACTTTGACAGCCCTGGTTCCTGCTTATAAAAAAAATATAAATATCACTTATAGAGAGAGCAAGTAGGAATATAAGAGAATTTTATACTGAACAAATAAATTATTTACTCCTAAAATAATACAATTCAAAACCCGAACTATCCTGAAAAGAGTTTTGATTAATGTCCAAAGACAAATAAAGAAAAAAGTAGAGACAGAAGCTGATGATGAGTTACCTGTTGGAACATATGAAGCGTTGGTGAGAGTACGGTTGAAGTCATGCACAGACACAAGGACTGCATGATCAACCTGAGCCTTAAAACAGTCAAACTGCATCTCCCACTAGAGGGCAGGAGAGTAACATCAAAGAATACATCGACACTTCATTGTAAGTTCAAGTAGACAACCCCACACAGAATTCTAAACAACTGAAATGTCACTCACAAACTCCAGTTTATGATTTTAAAGACTTTCATACCACAAATGTTTTTCGCAGATCCGGATATTCGTTATTCGAGTCAACTTTAACTCTCCTACTGCGGTCTTTAGACAACCGTCTCCACTGCAACAAGAGAAAGAGCCATACAGGCCCACGTTAGTCTGGGTGATTTGGCAAAAATATAACATCACAGTACATTACATTTTAATGATGTGTATTAAAATATTCTGTTTTTCTGAGGTTTGCAGACAAGTTGAAACCAAACAGTAATGACATTTTAAAAAAATTAAATAAAAATTGTAAAATTATGAGTACTATGAGAACAATGAGAGTGCAAAAATAAACTAGTTCAGAAGGAACAGGAAAAGTCAAACAACTGGTAAAAATAAATTAATAAAATATGATACTGGCATAATGTGCTGACATCCATTCAGCTACTTCTTATTCTTCAGATTATATAGTTGTGTTTGTTGTTGTTTATAAGTTCTCTACAATTAGTCTTTTGTACATTAAAGTGTATCATGACATAATTTATCATAATAAACATGCCATCATCATACTGCCCACCCATAGTGTTACTTTGAAAAGGGAGTGGTGGCTGAATAGTGAATACAATGTCCTAAATGCATTAACGTATTCCATTACAATACAAAAAAAGTAATGTATTCAGAATACATTTAGAATGCATACTGATATTAAACACATTAATAGTGAGATGGCACATTGGAAAAGCTGTACTGTAATTTTTATTTAATTCATACTGTTCCTCGCTCTTACTAGTGGGCAGTTTTTTTTCATGTAATTCTCCCGCTTTCGTGAAAATTCACTCATTTAAATGAAGTTACAACATTCTCAGCATGATTCCCCATTGCCGTCTCATAAACTAAGCAAACGTCAATTCGCATGCAGACACAGGGAGAATGTGCAAACTCAGCACAGAAAGGACCCTGGTCACCTGGCTAGGGAATCTAAATCGAGCCCTTTTTGCTGTGAGATGACAGCGCCACCCACTGTGCCTTCATGCCACTCATAATTCACCATAACCCAATAACAAAATCTTGCAAAATTGACCATAAAGTGGGTAAATATGTGATTTTCAGTTAATGACATCAAATTCCAGGACTTTTCATGACTTATCCTGCACCAAAAACGAAAAAAAAAATCCCAAGGTTAAGTACTCTAGTGCTTAATATCCACAGCAAAATAATATGAATATAATTGCTTTTTTCCTTCTTCATATGGCTTTTCAACACCAATGTCAAATTTCTTCAGGTCATGCAGTAATGACATCTCACCATACGCTTGTCCAGCCATTGCATGTTAAATTGATATAAATGTGTCTGATATTTAGTCTACGTTACTAGCTAAAAGTCCATCCAGCCTAAAGTTAACAAAATGATGCACAGACTACTAGATCCCACAAATAAGAAAACACAAAGTCATGTGAAATACATCCGTGGGGGTCACTGGTCCTGTGATAAATCAACTAATGCTGGGTTCAGGTGGCAGAGCATATTTGCAAAAAGTCCACGTCTGAAATGAGGGGAAAAGTGAAGAAGGACTGCATTGCATCTTCATTGGCAGTGTTACAGGCCTGATGCTTGACACTTCAGTACATATCACACAAAAAGCTTTTCCAGTACTTTTTCAGTACTTCATTTTGGACGATGTATCTTTCACAAATTTCCAGGTTTTCTAGCACCCGTACAAACTCTAAAGTACGAGTCGAAAACAACAACGCTATGCTTATGTCCAGTGACTATGTCCACTACTGAGGAGACTGTTCAGTTGAATCATTCTCCCAAAGAGTGTAGTAACACTGAGATTAATAACTAATCATCACGTTGATTTATCAGTCTACTCAGGCTTTAGCAGGAACTTGTGTTTGTAAAAAAGCTGTTTTTCAAGTTCTTCTTTGGAGTATGTCTTTACATACCATTCACTGATTTAAAAACAGTTAGCAAACAGTCCCAATGTACATGAGACTGAAATGGGGTACAGAATTTCTAAGGAGCCATTTTAAGAGCCTAGATTGTTAATTAACGTCAACATCCTGCATAAACATGCCAAAGACATACCCAAACAGTGTTGTTTTCATGACTCGTCCAGACCAAGATAACCTGGGAATTCCTGGTATCTGATTTAGTAAACTCAATCCATAGGGTTGTATTGGCTACTACAAAGAGAGAAAAGACAAAGAGCAGAGAGAAAGAGAGACAGAGAGAGACATGGGGGAGGGGGGTTAATTTTCATCATTATCAGTAATATGTTTGTTCACATGTAAATTCATATAATGTATTTGCTTACACAGCGGCTCCACGCGTAGATGTACACGCACGCACACCCCCCCACTGTTGTCCAGAACTGTCGAGAGTGTCATCTGGGGCAAGTTCTGTTTCTCATCTATGAGAACATGTGAAAAAACATGGAAAACACACTTAGAGAAGATGTTGTAACATTCTACTGCGGTGTACTTTATTACATTCCCTAGCAACAGTTAACAGTGGTAAAATCACTGTAATGTACAGCATATTTCTTTTATAAGACTGCGTCAAAATATAAGATGTTCAAAAATAATCTAATTTATTACTAAAAATGATTACAATAAACAATTCTTCCGCCAAGCACTTAAGTTTGTTAACAGAAAGCTATGGTTGTCAAGCAACCTTTACAGGAAAAAACATGTAAATAGACACTTGGTCATTGCACACTTGACATGCTATTTTTCACCTATATGTGTTATCAGACATGAAAAAACGTGTGATCACATCTGCCGTTTCATGTGATAATACATTATTCACATGTTTACTTGTAAGTATGAGGTTTTTTAGACTTGTCAAATATTTTAGCGCTGTCCATCTCCAAAATGGTAACTTTACAGGAGAAGGAAAAAGGCATTCTTAACTTAATGGAATTTTGGACCATTTTCATGGGTCATCATGAAATTTTAATATAATGCAAAGGGTATCTAGAGTTTTCAAAATATGCAAAAAAATAAAAATAGGAACTGCAAGGTTTTTGCACAACAACAACAACAATAACGGTATGTGACATTTCTGTAGAGAATGTAATGTATGCAGTTAGTTTTGTGCAGAAAGTTTCAAATAAAAGAATACAATCCACAGGCAATATGTTAAGTATCAAAGCACCTAAAATATGTTGCAAATACAAATAATGATAATTAAATTAAACAATTTTTCAAAAATATTACTACTCATTTTGATATTAATGTATTCCTCATTTTCTCATCTATGCTTTCCATTTTTTCTATTTGTTGACATGTTTTTTGCTTTTTTTGCTTCTGGCTTTTGGCACGCATTCACGAGTGGGTGGGGGTCTTAGAAGAAGGCACTCACCTGCACTCTCTACTGGTCAACTGTTTTAGTGTGATAGGTCTTCTGAACACACAACCTCTCTGAGAGTGATAAGCCTCAAACATGGAGTACATTGTTCTGAGGGTACAGAGGATCGTGCTGGTCTGTCCAAAATTATGAGCAATGTTTGTCATATGTGTTACTGTAACACATGATCAGTGTCCGGTGTCACTCTGTGTAATACATATATATATTTCAAGCATATCAGGAAATCGTTGAATCTATAGGGGGAATGAAGTCGACATGCCATGGTCGACCATTACATACCGGGAGTTATGAAGGTTGTTTTGTCAGTCTTTTCTTGTTTCTACCTATAGAATCTGTCTGTATCAGTCACTGAAACTGGCTTTCTATTTTAGCACGCTTGTTTACTGCTGAGTTCTGCTGCTTCAAATCACTGTCTTTGCATCAACACGGTAACATTAGATATTTGGCCATAGGGCTAGCCTAGTTAGCCCTAGATCACACTTCTTGTGTTTGACACAGGAACCGAAACATGTGTTACACTGGAATACGAAAAACATTGCTCATAATGTTGGATTAGCCAGTACAACGCTGCACCCATGGCAGCACTCAGTACGATGTGTTCCGCTATGTTGGGCTGGTTCACACAGAGTGGCTACGTGTTCAGAAGACCTGTCATTTCAAATCAGTTGACCAATAGAGAGTCCTCTTCTAAAACCCGCTCCCTGGTAAAAAAAATACCAAAAGTTAGAAGAAAAAGAATGATTTCAAAAGCAAAAGAGTGATTCCAGAAGCAAAAATATATGAGCAAAATGAATAATACATTTATATCAGAATGAGAGAAAATGAGCAGAAATCCTTTTCAAAAATTAAGTTTCATTTTACTGTGGTTATTTGTATTTGCAACACATTTGGGATACTTTGATACTTAACATTTTGCTGGCGGATTGTATTATTTTATTTGAAACTTTTGGCATAAATTAACTCCATATTAATGGTAGAACACAACCCATCCATTCTATAGATACATATAAGCTCTGTAACTGCATTAAACAGTCATTCCCTGTGCATAAGAACAGAAATGTACACAGCGAGCGATCACAGTCCCACACCAAAGAGCCTGTAGTGTCAGAAGGAGCATGTGTATGTGTTTAAACCAGCCAGTGAAAGCAGGATTACTTACCAATATCAGATCGGTCCTGAAAATGGAAACACAACAAGAAAATGAAAAAAGTGCAAAAGAGAACAAGAAATAGCAGAATGTCCGATTTTTTTAAATCAATAAAAATTATAGCTGTAAAGAAAATCAGATTTTGTGTTTAGTGAGTAATAATTAGTTGGCATTTACTTTTTTCACTATTTACCTGTAATCTGATTCACACGCAGTATGAATATTTGTAATATGTGTGGGTGGAAGTGGTATAGCTAAGTTTTTCCTCTGTGAGTAAGGGGGGAAGGCGGCATAAAAACAAACATGAAATGAGTCCAGAAATCAAAAACCAGGGGAGGGGAAATTTTAAGAGGGTCTAAAACAGCACCTGAACTTTCCACTCTGTCTTTCACTTTTTTCACAATGTCAACTTGCATACTTTAAGAAAAGTAAAGATACTTTAAAAAAAAATGATTCAAGTAAAAGCTGAAGTAACCTTTAGAGAAAAATACCCAAGAAGTTTTTAGGTTACTGATATTATAAGTACATAAGCATCAAACAGGTTTATATACTGTATATATTATCGCTGTTGTAACGAAATCTCACATCTACAAAGGGGTTAATGGTTTCTAACTAATCCGTGTTAATGTAATATTTTTTTTGAGTCCAAGTAATTCTTGGCTTAATAATGGTAGCGTAATTGAATGTGAAGAGCACTATAGAGCTAGTGTGGCTCACTTCTGTAAGCTAACGTGCAAACGTGTTGTGTTGTTTTCTCCTTTTCGTTAGTAAAAGTAATGAAAAGGTCTGGTAAAGGTGAAAATGTGAAGCTTGGAGCAGTTAAAGGTAAAAGAAGAAGAGGACAGTCAGTTGTTAAGATGGATGGATACAATCAAAGATCTGAAAAAACATTATGAAGCCTGAAAAACAAAACAGAAGGACATTGAGGAGAAACACTATCCATGCGGTTGCCAATCAGAAACGACAAAAAAATTTCACAATACATGATATGATGCTAGTGCCACATTTCAACCACACTGTCAGAAACTATGATAATATAATTATTTGTATTCATCATTTTACACACTGTGCTGCATAAATCCAATTAAATAGGAATGTTTACGCTCTCTTTGTAATGAAACATGCAGTCGGGAAGTGTTTTTGTAAACGATATGCTCAGAAAGGAGTATTGTGGGGAATTTATCACGATAATGATAAATACTGTCATATTGCCCAGCCCTACTTGACGGCACTTACTATTAATAATGAAGTAAAGTTGAAAAACTCCCAAAATCATCAACTTTGTTACTATACAGCACTGACGATCAATACAGAAGTCGTCTTCTCTACTGACTAGGACAAATGTATTTAATCTGTCATAGCACACATGCTCTTACTGTCTCATAACGATGTTTGAGGGTATCTCTACGTATTAAAATGATCTTAAATCTGCCGTTATTCCTAAACAGGTTGTATTATATACATTTTGCCGGTCTTTATTGTGGTTTTCAGGGATTCACAAGCTTCTTTAACCACTTGATGTTAATCAGTCAGTGCGTCATGGCCTTTATCAACTGCAGTGGTTAATCACACAGCTTTTATTTTGCCGTTTTTAAGTTTCTGTTAAACTTCGCCCAGTTGTAGCTACAAGCAGATGACCTTTGCCCAGCAGTGCACCAAATTTAATGCTAGTCCTGTTAAGCATCTTTAGTGAAGGCACTGTAGGTCAGAAAATGTCACATACATTGATTACCAGAGGTGGGGACAGTCGTATAAAACCATGCTCAATGCGAAGTCTCGTCATTTCAATGAAATAATGACAGAGGTGAAAGTAGCTTCCAAAAACCAGCTTGAAGAGGAGTGATCAGTCAAAAACCAGTCAAAAACCAAAGTACTGAGTTCCCTTTTAGAACTGCAGAGAAACTTCTTAGTAAACTTATTGTTATTATCATGGGAATTTAAAGAGGATTTCCATTGATTTTTCAAATAGTATATATAATCCAAAGGTTAAGATGTAAACAAAGTCAGAGTGGTTTGATGTGAAACGCTATAGAGAAACAAGAGAAACTTACTAAATCAGAATTGTTCACACTGGTGGTGATGGGAACCAGACGTCTGAAGAATTTAAGGCCTCTAAGAGCTCCCTCACAGAAAGCTATTATTCAAAATGGTTATGAATCTGCTGCATATCTGGAATTAATTTACAATAGTTCTGATGTAAAGTTTTTACCTAAAAAATATTTTTAGATATATTCAAAGCGGAGGGGTACATGCGGGGCATTGTAAGGCAAAACAGCCCCCAAAGAAAACTCACTTTTTCAGATTTGCCACTATTCTACCATCATCAAGATTACATATAAAAACTCAGTAAACTCGTGGGTTCACTGGTGGTTTTCACAGGCTACATTTGAAATGTAAACATTGTGACCTCTAGTTTCTACACTCTTCGAGGGTTCTTTAGAAAATGGAATGGCTCTGTTTAGAAACATGAGTTCCATATAGAACAATCTGCATGCTTGGTGAAATGGTTCTTCAGATATTAAGATTAATAGAAAATGTGCTGTATATGTCAAGCATTTCACCCTGCAAAAATCATTTAAGTATGTGGTTCTATATAGAATTATAGAGAAATTCTGAAAAGTCGATGGAATTCCCCTTCAGGTTTGTTAGGTGCTGTACTGTTGTGTTCAGATCCTTCTGGGCTAAATTAAAGCGCTAAAGCTCGAAAGTGACTAACGGAAAGGTGAAAGCGAAGCAGTCCAGGCGCTGAACCAGCAGAACCGAATGAAATAAACCCCGCAAAAGAGAGTTAGGAACTACATGTGAAGGACAAGATGGACACGAGGATTAAGGAGACACTGTTCCTCACACATGTGCTCGAGTGGAAGTAAAAGTGGGCAGCTAGCCGGCTAGGTGTTCTTACCTCTCTCAGCCTCAGGACATTTCTCTTCGTGATCTGCTCAAAAGCCGCCAAAAGCTGCCAAGAGTGGAGCGCGAGCACTACACGCGCGAACACCAGCGGCGCGCGCATTAGCCTCGGTTACCTCAGCGCCGCTTTCAGCGACGGACCGTACAAGAAAACATGGTTGAAGTTAGAGAGCGCCGTCGAGGTGGGCGCTAAGACAGCGCTGAGGAGGCTTACGACTTCTCTTCATATGGTCTCGCTGGGGATGTCGCGCTGTCACCCGCCCTTAGGCTGAAGTGGAGAGGTGGGGACAGTCCAGACAAGAAGACCGCCTCTCAGTCCGCTCCTCAGCCTCAGAGGAGGGGTCTGTTAATCTCTCGCACACAGAGCTTTAACGAAGAGTTTTCAGCCAATTCCAGTAAAGTACGGAGCGCTGCTGGTGACATACCGAATAAATAATAATAATGCGTGCCCGTGAGTAAAGCATGGGAACAAGATAATTAAGCCTTGGCCACAGCCTAATAGGGCATGATCTCGTTCCCACGCCTTACTAAGTCTCGGCCACGAGTTAATTATCTCGTTCCCACACCTTATTAAGTCATGGCCTCTGTCTCGTTCCCACACGTTAATATGGTGCAGCCACACATTATTATTATTTATATGGTATGTCACCAGCAGGGCTCCTTCCCATCCCATATAAATAAAAATAATGCATGGCCACGCCTTATTGACACATGGGAACGGGACCCTAAAGCATGGCCATAATTTTGTAAGACGTGGGAACGAGATAATTAAGTCGTGGCTACGACTTTATTATCTCGTTCCCACACGTTAATATGGTGCAGCCACACATTATTATTATTTATATGGTATGTCACCAGCAGGGCTCCTTCCCATAAATAAAAATAATGCATGGCCACACCTTATTGACGCATGGGAATGGACCCTAATGCATGGCCATAACTTAATAAGGCTTGGGAATGAGATAATTAAGTCGTGGCCATGACTTAGTAAGGCCTGGGAACTAAGTTCTAAGTTGTGGCCACGCATTAGGATCTTGTTCCCTAATGCCAATAACGCCACACGTTATTTTTATTTATACAGGTTGTCACCAGCAGGGCTCCGTAGGGCTCCATAGTAAGGCCAGTCACAATTCCCACATACTGACCGTCTCCAGTAGGCAGGGGCGGATTTCGTGACACGGGGGCTCAAGGCAAAGACAGGAGTGCCCCCCTGGATGCACATTTTAAATTTGTTAAGGCTCTTGGCTCCTGAGTGCCACAACTGCCTAAACAAACAAATGTAAAAAAAAGATACCTTGGCAAGTGAAATGATCTATAATCTAGTTGATGTATGTAGTGTATAGTTACAACAACTTTTACATAAGTAAAAGTGAAATTATCTCAGTACCTTGGCAATTATAGAAATTGCTGAAAAGAATTGCTACAATAAAAAATAACAGCTATTTTTATAATGTATATGTAGTTTGGAATAAGTTATTTAACATAAACTTATGCAGTAGATCTAATTTGTATTTTCATGGGGTTGTTGGCTCAGTGGGATTCTAGGCAGCTGCCTACTTTTTCCTAATGCAAAGACCGCCCCTGCCAGTAGGCGTTGATAAACTGTAAAATGTTACCTTGCCTCAGAAGTAGCCTATGTGTCCTTTTTAAGGCTTTCCCTCTCTCTTTTACATCCTACCACCAGTGTGGTCTTACTTTAGGATATCAAAATGCAAGAAGACTAGCTTTGGGATTTGATATGCTTTTCAGTTATTGACGCTGTCCAAAGAAAAACATGTATCTCCACTTTTTTCAATGTTTGCTTTTCTACATTTGAGCACGGCACCTCCCCTTGACGTTCTGTGAAAATTTCATGATGATTGGACCAATAGAAATGCTCCAAATTTGCTTCAAGTAAAATTTCTTTACAATATCTTACATTGAAAGTAAAGAATGTTTTTGTCTCTATTTTGGAACTAGAGGTTTTTCTTTGGACAGCGACATTATGCATGCTGGATGTGACTGAATACAGACCGTTCGTAATGGGAACTGGCTTAATAGTTACCATTAGAGACCACTAGTTTCCTTTATAACACGATTAGATCCCATCAAATGCATCTGTAATCAATCTCAGAACAGCTGTTAAAACATTAGAGCCGTTTATACTGTGATATCAACCCATCAGGAAAACACAAAACAGAATTAGTGGACGCCACCAGGAACCAACAGAAATGTAAATAAGATTTATAAGATTTTAGTGTATCTACAGGCAGTGAAAGAATATACCAGATTGCAGATTAAAGGATGTACAAATATACAGATGTGAACCTGCGCACGTCTTCACAGTTTTCAAATGGAATGTTGATGGTAAAATAGTGATAAATACGCTATAAATGGATTTAAATGATACATACTTTAAGCAAATCTATCGTAAAACTCAGGCATCAGGCAGCATCTTCGTAAGAAATAACTTTCTGTGGGGATCTCATAGAGGCATTCACTTCTTCAGACGTCTGGTTCCCATCACCACCACTGTGAACAATTCTAAATTGGTAGGTTTCTCTAGAACAGTGCATTTCATACCAAACCACTCTGAGCCACTCATCTTAACCATTTAATTATGCAGCAGATTTGAAAAATTGGTGGAATTCCCCTTTAAATAACTGTAAACATTGTAACAGGACTGGGCAAATGTGTCATAATACTGTGTAATTTATGGCAGTAATAATCCAGAGGCAATAAAAACCAGTGGGTGTCATTGTGCAGTAAAGGCTAAATAAAGAACACAAGTTGCTGCAGGTGGAGAAGAAGGAACTGTTTAGATTGATGAGGTAAGAACAGTTCAGCCTGAAAGTGGCAGGAAGGAAGGACCTGTGAAAGCATTCACTCCTGCACAGAGGCAGAAGGAACCTGCAGCTCAGTGTGCTCCACTGTGCATTGACTGCTGTATGGAGAGGGTAAATGTGCTTGGCCAGCACTCGCCTCTCAACCACCATCTCCACTGGGTCCAGTCTGGGCCCCAGCAATGAGCCAGCCTTACTGATGATCTGAGTCTGTTAGTGTCTTTTGAATTGATACTGCTGCCCCGGCACACAGCAGCATAAAAGATGGTACTCAACACTGCTGACTTCTAGAATGTACGTGGCAGATTTCCACACTGAAGGATAAGAATCTGAGGTCACATTTTCTACAAGCCAAATATAGCCATTTTATTTAAACCCTTAAAATCCCAGGCTTTTTATTCAGTAACAACAGGGACTTCAACACGAGCTCATTGAGGGTTCTTAAGTTATTCAGATCCATCAGCCAGCTGTCTTTGCACACAGAGGAATTAGACCTCCACATTTAACCCATCCATGCAGCGAAACACTCACATACATGCACACTAGCGAACACACACACTAGGGGCCTGTGAGCACACCTGCCCGGAGCGGTGGGCAGCCCTATCCACAGCACCCAGGGTGCAGTTGGGGTTTAGGTGCCTTGCTCAAGGGCACTTCAGTCACTCAGGGGATCAAACCAGTAAACTTCTAGGCACAAGGCGGGTTCCCTAACCTCCAGTCCACAACTGCCCCCAAGTTACAGAAGTGTGTAATGAAACTTTGGCCATGTAAGGGGTTAATATTCAAAATGACCAGTGAACCTACATGTGTCTTCAAAGTTTTTATATATAATGTTTATAATGTAATATAATGGTAAATCTTTGGGTGCTACTTTGCCTTGCACACACCATGCTTGTTTATTTTTTAGAAAAATACATTTTAGGCCAAAAGCATATCAGAACTATTGTAAAACTATGTTTCAGGCAACAGGTAATGCATCAGAAGCTATTTTGTTTAATAACGTTCTGTAAAGGAGCTTTTAGAGGCCTGAAAGGAGTCAGACGTCTGGTTCCTATCACCACCACTGTAAACAATTCTGACTCTGTAAGTTTCTCTAGAATGCCGCATTTCACATCAAACCACTCTGAATGACTTAGCCATTCAATTACGCAGAACTTTTGAAAAATTGGTGGCGTGGCCCTTTAAAAAGGCTGTTTTTGATTTTGTTACCATGCTTTTAGGGTTGTAAATGACCTCTGTTCTGATTGGCTGCTCTGTATTGAGCATCACTCAAAGAGCAGTTGGGGCTGAAATACTCTTTGTGTCTTCAGGGAGAACGGGTGGCGCTAAACAGCTGTAAGCTGGAGAGGTGGGTATATATGTAAATACAATGGTTTTGTGAGACAATGAAACAAAGTAAGCACTTTTTTCAGCTTAGTTTCCATGTTATGGACTGTATGGATTGAGTGAACGCTACATTTTGAAACTTAAAACAGTTTTTACATACTACATCAAACTCTTTCATTTCACTCCCAGTTAACTCCAAAACTGCACAAAGAGGAAAGATGAAGTGCTTAAAAAACATTAAAAAAAAGCATGTTATGTTTCATACAAAAGCTACCTAGCTTGAGTACACATGAAAGGCACTTCATTTCGTAATCGCAGTGCAACAGGAAGTGGTCTTTGGAAATGTATGTTTATAGGCTACAGTATATTCATCCATAGAAATGCAGACAGAATCTGACAGATTTTGAACTGAGTGCTTTGTCTTTTGGAAACTGGTAACTGGAAACACGCAGACACATTGAATTTATGTCTGTATGCTCAGGAACATTCTCCTAAACTAACAGTAAGGGGATAATCTAGGTCAAGCTTGAGTGGGCTAATACAAACTGACACGCATGAAAATTCAGCAACCTGTGACTTCCTGCTCTGAAACACAAGCACATTTCATGTCTTACCACACCCTCACAACAACAGACGTCCCTTCACCCTACAATCTCAATCTCTCAAAAAAGAAAAAAAGGGGTCTTTATCAACAGATCAGTGGCTGAAGTGCACCACTAACCTGACTTGATAGAACATGCTGAGGTTGTGATTCTCTTCTTAATATACGGATGGTAATATACACTATAACTAGAACACCGTGAGAATATTCAGAAAATGAATACAGATTGAAATGTATGGTGGGGAAAAATCTTTCTATAGTGACTATAGCCCCTGTATTTCAATTCATACTTCACTTTGGACCTCATTAGTGCCTGTAATTTTGTAGAATAATAACGTCTCAAAAACATTTTGCACTTAAAATGGCAATGTTTTGAGCAAAAATGACATTACCACATGGTACCTCATTGGTAGGCCTAGGTTACCAGTCAGCTAAGATTATCAAGCTAAAACTGCATATCACAAATGACCTATTGCAAATAACA